CTGGAACGGATTAATTGTATTTCCATTATTTCTTATGGGAAATATTGCTTTGAATTTCAGACTTTTCAAATTTAGAACTAGCTCCTGGAACGGATTAAGTTCGATTTTTGAGGTTCCACTGTACGTATGTTATATAGATAAAGTAAAATTTAAATAAACATTTAAAATAACATTTACTTTATTGAAGAGACTTGCTGGCATCTGGAATATAGGGAGGAGGAAGGAGGGAGGACTTATTGTTTGGAAGGGAAATCCCCTTCCATAAAGACTTTAAGTAATAAGTCTTTATCTGGGGTTACTTACCTTCTTTGTCTTTTAAGGCCACTAGGACCAACTTGAGTCACTGGACCCCTGTCTCACAAAATAACTGTCAAGAGTGCTGTTTCTGGCATCTCTTTAACCCCTTGACTGTCGCAACCCCTAATCCTGAGGTCTCTCCTGGTGTCGCAAAAACTAAAAAAAAAATAATAAATTATTTTTTCTTATGAAATGATAGAGAATCTTTTCCCAATGGTAATGACTCCAAAAGTACGAAATTTGATGGAAAACTTATGGAATTACGCTCTCACGAAGTTAGTGACCTCGGCGATATTTACGAATCTGCGATTTTGCCCACTTCGAGCCCTACTTTTGGCTAATTTCATTGTTCCAGTCGACCAAATTCATAGCTATTTCTTTAGAACTCCATTTTTTCTATCGATTGAGTACAAGAAACTGCCCATTTACTGATTTCAACTACCCAGTAACATGGTCAGAAATTTGCAATTTGGCCAATTTCGCAAAAAGTTAAAAAATATGACAATTTCAAAATATGGTCCAGAATGAACAATGCAGACATTCCTGGCTCTAAAATAACATTTTCTTTGTTCATCAGTCACGTCTCCAGGCTCCTCTGATATTACTCTTGCTTTCTATTTTTGAATTTTTATTCAAACAAAAAATAGAAGATTTACTGTTATGCAGACTACTGCAATATTGTAATAATTGTATAAATAATGTCAACCCATTCATGACTGCATATTAGAATGGCTAGTTGGACATTTATTGGACAATGGCATCATTTGTTTACTTTTGAACATCGGCAAAAATCAAACATTTCCCCTACTTTGAGCTCCATTTCCAGGTTCCTTTTACAGTAAAACCAATCAAAATCACCTCTACTTCTATAATATGTTTTCCATTTTATCAAATGAGACCAAGAAAACGAGAATACAACCATAAATACTGTACGAAAATAGACCACAAAGTCGGCATTTTAATAAAAAAAAAAGTTGGAGTTTTTTTTTTCTCATACACTGCGTGCTGCAGGATTTTTTTTATATGGTGCACACAGACCCATTCTCTCTCATGTGGGCCTACCAGCTTTCTCCTGCTTGATTTGAAGTCGCTAGAATTTATGAGTATATATATACATGCACGTCAAACACAGTGGCTCATAAGACGTATAAATACGACTGAAACAGTCAAAGGGTTAAGATTTCCCTGAAGTGGGACAAGGTTTTGTCACTGAACATGTTGCAGGTATGGCTTGTTTCAGCTTGGTCAGGGTGATACTTTTCAACAAAAGTTTGCAACTCATTCCACTTTGCACACTTTTCAGAGTCACAATTAGTGGCTGGCTGGCTTTCTGGCTGGCTGGCTTTCTGGCTGGCTGGCTTTCTAGCTGGCTAGCTTTCTGGCTGGCTTTCTGGCTGGCTGGCTGGCTTTCTGGCTGGCTGGCTTTCTGGCTGGCTAGCTTTCTGGCTGGCTGGCTAGCTTTCTGGCTGGCTGGCTTTCTGGTTGGCTAGCTTTCTGGCTGGCTAACTTTCTGGCTGGTTAACTTTCTGGCCGGCTGGCTTTCTGGCTGGCTGGTTGGCTGGCTTTCTGGCTGGCTGGTTGGCTGACTTTCTGGCTGGCTGGCTTTCTGGCTGGCTGGCTTTCTGGCTGGGTGGTTTTCTGGCTGACTGGCTTTCTGGCTGGCTGGCTGGCTAGCTTTCTGGCTGGCTAGCTTTCTGGCTGGCTAGCTTTCTGGCTGGCTGGCTGTCTGGCTGGCTGACTTTCTGGCTGGCCAGCTTGCTGGTGTGTGTGCATGCGTGCGTTTACTCAAGGATAAGCAACGCTAGACTGGCTGACGATGCCTGCGCGGGCAGGCGGACAGGTCCAGTACACCAGTCGAAACGCGGGACAAAATTTGGCCAAAGAAAAGCGGGTGAAACCCGAAGCAGCCGAATCCCAGGGTGGCTGAAATCCAGGATTTCACTGTACCTTTAGATGCCATCATAAACAAAGGGAGAAGTAATGAATAATTCATGCCGAGAATTGTAAACAAATGCATATTAAGGGTGGTGACTGGGCCAGACGCCAGATTCACAGTTTTCTCTAATGCTCAGCCAGAGAAAATGTAATGTTTACCCTCCACCCAACTCACCACTTGATAGCATATAAATATTGCATGTTTATATGCTATGTTTATATGCTATATGCTCTATAACGTGTTTCTTATGTAATTTTGAAGAAAATGTCATAGATGGATTAATGAAAATGTCTATATTAACCTAAAATAAGACATTTAATGTGCCCAAGAGTGATTATTATTACGTATTAATATTATAACTATGGCGTTAAGACTAGAGGGACACACTTAGTGAACGAGTAACAAAGGCATGTTTATATGCTATACATATATGTAATGTGTTTCTTCTATGATTTTGAAGAAAATATCATAGATGGATTAATGAAAATGTCTATATAAACCTAAAAGAAGGCATTTAATGTGCCCAAGAGTGAGTCATGAGTGTATGAGCAGCCCAGGTGAATGTGTCTGGTACCACCGATTTCCAAGTGGATGCACGAAATCCGGGGGGAAATTTTGCCGAAAAAAGTTTTCGATTTCCTCACCGGCTGAAAACCGGGGGTCCACTGTATTTTATATATAATTATAATTATATTCGTTATATAAAAATAGTGTGTCAGGATGATTGATTTTAAGAAATCTATAATTAAAAAATATTTAATATGTATACTATACCTACATTTATGTGATAAAGTTTCTAATCTTCTACATATTTATGTAATAAGAGTTTCTTGTGAAAATTCCATGAAAAATAAAGAATAAAACAAATGTAACTATTGTGCTATAAATCCTACAGTTGGACAGATTATATTATAAATTCATTTTTTGCTTATGAATATAAAGTATGAGATATATGTTTCATGTGTAATAAGTATTGCATGCTGCCCGCTTCATAATATTTTAATACATATTATACATTTAATTATCACAGATAAAAATCTGAAATTAAACTTTTTCGTTTGGCAATTTCACCATTGCACAAAGTGCTCACTCTCCATTTTTTTGTGAAACTTAAATTGCATGTTGCTCCTTGACTTTACCTTTAAGTAGGCAGTATCATTATAGGCTTGATGTAGTTTCAAGAGTTTTTCATTGCATTCTAGCTACAGTTAACTTTCTTATAAAGCTCCTCTATATAGTGCAATTTTATGTAACTTTGATTGAAAAAATGCATCCAAAGGCCTTCATAGTATGTGCTGTTAAATTTTGGAGGAACTTTTTCAATCATATTTACAAAAAATTTAACTTAATAGAGGAGTTTCATAAGAAAGCTTTTTTTCTAAATGCAGTGGGTATTACAGAATCATTTTCAATTTACCTGATACCATTTTGAAATTTATCCCATTGAGATAAAGACAACTTACGTCTGCAAATGTCTGCCAATATAGGTGTATTGTCAAGTATAATTTTTTTGAAAACAGATCCTAAGCATATATACATGTGAGTTTATAGTCAGTTTCATGCAAGACTTTGTCTTGCAAATCATAGTAAATCCTTAAAAAGACAGAAGAACAGCTAATGTAATGCAAATCCTAGTTACATATTATAATATTACAAAATAATCTGAGAAATAAAATCTGAATCACAATTTAAGAATGACATGTTCACTATGCATGTTGCCTCCTTTTAGTGGAGCATTATATTTGTGATAGAAATAGCCACTCTCCTCCCTTTCTGTACCTTTCATGCCTGAGAATGTTTTATTACATGTAAACTACATTATCTGTTTATGGCATAAAATAAATAAAGTAGTATGTATTTGAATTCAGCCTTGAACTAATCAATTCCATTACTGACTGACATTGTTAGGTAATTTATTGCAGTCTTAATGAAAGTTGTGTAAAAAAGTTTTGGTAGCAGGCTGCATTATTTGGGCATTAGAAAATTGTGTTCCTTCCCTAGCATTATAGTTTTAGTTCCTAACCTTTTCATGAATAGGCAGTGTTGTCTGTACCTGGCTTGCTGGAGATATTGAAGACATAATTTAATGTCTGCTGTTTTACTCTTATTTGCCACATTCATGTATTTGCTACTTTCTAGTTTTTGTAGTGCTTTCTTACTTATAGAGATGTTTCCTCAAACTCATTTCTATTACAAATCTTTCCTTCTTATTTTGACTAACTTGTAACTTGTTTTTCAAGTTTATTGTCTGAGTACAGCACCATTATGAGCAGGGTTAGTCTACACTGCAATATATGAGCCTGATAAATGATCCTTCATACCTCAGTAGGGATGTATGTACTGTGTCTAACTATAGTAGAACTTTAAGTTAGTAGAACTTTATCCTTGAATTAAATTTAGGGATTAGTTTGTTGCTGTTTTTACTTATCAACTTTGTCCCCAACAGAGATAAGGTACCCACTCACAGTTAAGAGACTGGGATGAGTCAGCCCACTTAGGGGTATAATGTCACTACCACACACACACTGATGGAGATTAGAGACTATGGTATTTCTGCAACATTTGGGTGGCTGTAAAACATTTGAGAAGACATTTCTATACATACTTGGTTATTCCAGAAAGTGCATTGTAACACTGAAAACCCATCATAACATTTAATTGTATGTTGTTTGTACAAGGAAATTGAAGATGTGTTATACTGTAAGTTCTTATCAGAGCAAAATTACTTATAAATTAACATTTTCTGACTTTCATATTCCTTTCACAGATAAGCATGGCAGGAACAATGTGGGACATAGTAACAATAAAGGGCATTGTCCTTGTAGTGATGTTTGTCATCACCTTTGTATGTTCGATGCTGCCTATTATATTTGTCAAACGCATCAGGCAAACACATGATTCCTATCTCAGATCCAAGTAGGTATTTTTTTCTGCAAGTTCAATTTTTTCTCATAGTTCATGATTTTGTATATAATTTTATATCCTCTTTAAATATTAATAATATAAGTAAGAAATAATCAAGCCTTTTTAAGTACAGCCTCTCCTCACTTATTGACAGAGTTCCATTCCTAAGACCACGTCGGTAAACGAATTCGTCGTTAAGTGAGGAGCATACTATAATGATAGTAGTGGGTTTGTGTCAACCATCTTTGATATTGTCTTAATGTCACCTTTGCACTATTTATAACGTTTCTGGTATATTTTTAAATGTTTATACAGTAATGTAGTAATAAACAGAATAGAGAAAATCAGCTCTTATATACATTATTTAGGTATGCATACTGGTCAGAGAGCCCATCGTAAGTCCGAGTCATCGGTAAACGAGTATGAGGAGAGGCTGTATAAATCTATTCAAAAAAAATTATTACTGTAAATGTATGCATTGTATGTGTGAGATTACCTATTGCTGTGGTTGGGCTCTGTGAAATAGAGACTTTAGTATAGACCTCTAATACCAGTATGTATATAGAATCTGTGATCACTTCTTTTCCTAGTAAATCACATTTTTTCTTCTCTTGAGCATCAGCACACCTGTGCTTAGTTTGGTGTCTGTATTACTCTCTGCACTCTGCAGCCTGCTTCAGTTCCATTCAGACCTCACAACATGGAAATCATTACTCTTGCATGTGGCCATTGTACTTGATCCTCCTTTCTGGAGGATGGTGATAAACTTTCTTATATATGATGCACAGGCTGTGCTTTTGTGGAAAGGCCTGTTCAGTGAGCATAGCTGGAACAACAATGGTTTTAGGGGAGACATGCACTAATATGGAGATGAAGGTATTGTGGATGATTTAATAGTTTATGCCCCACTTTAATGAGCTCTTCTAGGTTTACTTGGGAGTATACATAAGCTAGGCTCTTTGTCTTATTTTGGAGGAAATTGAATGTTAGGCCTAAGGTCAGTTTTCTTATGAAAATACTGTAATACATTTGTAGTTTCAAGACATTATTAATGTACTGTGATCTATTACAGAAGGTGCTAGTTATACAACTACATTCCTTGAGACTTGCCTACATAGGATGAGATCACCTCATATCTTCATTAGTTATGGCCTAACTGGTCATGTTTAAGTTTTAGCTTATGACTGGGGCTGGCCATGACTGTTAATAGAATTGAAATACAGTACACCGTACAACATTTGGCCTTGCTTTCTACAGAGGCTCTTGCAGTAACCATGTCCTCTCTTTTGATTTCAATATTTAGTTCACTTTTCATCAAAACAAGAGATCTTCTAACGAGAACTTTCACCTTCACCAGCACTCACATCCTTCATCTTAGTCATTTTGGACCCAGTGATCCAGTTCTGCTCCAGGTTGGGAGCTCGCTCATGCTTAGTGCACACAACACACACATAGACGAGTACAAATAGGAAGTTCATCTGTCTCACACTCAGCAGATGAAGGCTCAAGCCTTCACCACGTTTTGTGCTGAATGACTCACGTGAGTTTAGTGCTTAACATTAATTTATGATTTATAGTACACACAAGGTCCCATATGATATTAATACTATAGAATCCCTGGTGGGGTACCAGAGGCTTCCTGAAAGAGAAGTGACTTCTAGGGGTTCCACTTCAAGACACAGCGGGAAGTGTGTGTTGAAGGAAGACTGGGGTATATCAGTATGGCTTAAATTACCTTCCATGGCATTTCTCACTGTCAGTTACTGAAAAGGGTCTTAAGTTATTTTTTAAAGGAGATTTATCCTTGTCATTGTGCCTCTTTCCTCCATAAAGTTCTTTTATCAAAGATATTAACTCATATCTTACCAATTTGTTCAAGGCTTCCTCCATGAAGGAATTAGTATCTGAAAAGTACAAAATACTCTTCCCTGGTTCTTCTTGCTTTTTTTTTGTGATAACTCTTCCCTTCTTGACTCTTAGGAATGAGTTATGGAATGAGGGATGGTGAATGTGTTTCCTTTTTTTTAGACCATCTCTGCTGGTGACAAATGCTGATGGGTTTAAAAAAAACTATCATAAAGAACCTATTTTTTTTTTTTTTTTTTTTTTTTTTTTTTTTTTTTTTTTTTTTTTTTTTTTTTTTTTTTTAACTTTTTTTCCACTCAATTTTTTTTTTTAGATATCATGTTGTGCTGAGCCTGATGTCCTGCTCAGCTGGAGGAGTCTTCATGGGAACATGTCTCCTGGACCTGTTTCCAGATGTACAGGAACAGTTGGACATACTGATGGATCAAAGTTCTATAATGAGCTCCTTTCCCATTGCAGAATTCATTATTGTTTTTGGTTTTCTTCTTGTCTTGACAATGGAGCAAATTGTGTTGGACTACAAGGAATCAAGATTACTTAGTAGGTATGTCATTTATAGTTAGTATTGTGTTCATTCTATCCAGTACTCTTAGATGTGCTAAATATTTGTGATATTCAGTTTTTCTGTAACATTTTGAACTCTACCCTATAAACTTTTATATCCTCTGTACCTCTATAAATGTTTTAGGTGTACTTTCTTTAGTTCTATTATTTTTTGTTTTTAAAAAGATACACAAAATGCAGTACGTTTGATATAGTTTTATGAAATGTACATTTGAATGAAAGTATTTTCTTTGAAGCCTTTGGTATGTACAACATCTTGGACAGAACTACAGCTAATAAATATGAAGATAGATTTTACATAAGTTAAATAATAATAGAGTGCAGTTTAAATTAAATTAGAAAGACAATGTTGTAATCTTATTGGTTAGGGACTACAGTGGACCCCCGGTTAACGATATTTTTTCATTCCAGAAGTATGTTCAGGTGCCAGTACTGACCGAATTTGTTCCCATAAGGAATATTGTGAAGTAGATTAGTCCATTTCAGACCCCCAAACATACACGTACAAACGCACTTACATAAATACACTTACATAATTGGTCGCATTGGGAGGTGATCGTTAAGCGGGGGTCCACTGTATATTGAACCTGTTTATAATTTGATATCTTACTGTTGATTATGGGGGGAATACAATTTTGTTGAGAGGTGTTACACATGTGTGTTATTCAGCATAGGGAGTGATGGAGACTTAGTCCCTACATCTGCTAATTTTCTTGGGCAAGTGCAGTGCTGCCACTGAATTTTAGTAAATAGTATATGGTACCATATTGAACATTATCACCCAGCTGGTGTTATGCATGTAGTATATAGTAATTACAGTTCAGTCTGGATTGTCCATTTTTAAACAGAATTTTTGTTTTGAACAGTCATGATTAAAGAAATTTTTCTTAATTGTTTTAAATGTGTTACATTATTCCTTCAGACCACCAGAAGTACAGTCCCTTCTTAGCGACCCAAGAGAGACAAGACGCAACTTACAGCAACAACACAGCCTTAGTGGAATCTCGGACCAACCAGACCTCACCTCGTCAATGCGGTAAGTATATATTTCTTAACGTTTTATTGTGGCTTTCCTTGGGAACATTTTTTTTTTATATTTTTTTTTTTTATTATCACACCGGCCGATTCCCACCAAGGCAGGGTGGCCCGAAAAAGAAAAACTTTCACCATCATTCACTCCATCACTGTCTTGCCAGAAGGGTGCTTTACACTACAGTTTTTAAACTGCAACATTAACACCCCTCCTTCAGAGTGCAGGCACTGTACTTCCCATCTCCAGGACTCAAGTCCGGCCTGCCGGTTTCCCTGAATCCCTTCATAAATGTTACTTTGCTCACACTCCAACAGCACGTCAAGTATTAAAAACCATTTGTCTCCATTCACTCCTATCAAACACGCTCACGCATGCCTGCTGGAAGTCCAAGCCCCTCGCACACAAAACCTCCTTTACCCCCTCCCTCCAACCCTTCCTAGGCCGACCCCTACCCCGCCTTCCTTCCACTACAGACTGATACACTCTTGAAGTCATTCTGTTTCGCTCCATTCTCTCTACATGTCCGAACCACCTCAACAACCCTTCCTCAGCCCTCTGGACAACAGTTTTGGTAATCCCGCACCTCCTCCTAACTTCCAAACTACGAATTCTCTGCATTATATTCACACCACACATTGCCCTCAGACATGACATCTCCACTGCCTCCAGCCTTCTCCTCGCTGCAACATTCATCACCCACGCTTCACACCCATATAAGAGCGTTGGTAAAACTATACTCTCATACATTCCCCTCTTTGCCTCCAAGGACAAAGTTCTTTGTCTCCACAGACTCCTAAGTGCACCACTCACTCTTTTTCCCTCATCAATTCTATGATTCACCTCATCTTTCATTGACCCATCCGCTGACACGTCCACTCCCAAATATCTGAATACGTTCACCTCCTCCATACTCTCTCCCTCCAATCTGATATTCAATCTTTCATCACCTAATCTTTTTGTTATCCTCATAACCTTACTCTTTCCTGTATTCACCTTTAATTTTCTTCTTTTGCACACCCTACCAAATTCATCCACCAATCTCTGCAACTTCTCTTCAGAATCTCCCAAGAGCACAGTGTCATCAGCAAAGAGCAGCTGTGACAACTCCCACTTTGTGTGTGATTCTTTATCTTTTAACTCCACGCCTCTTGCCAAGACCCTCGCATTTACTTCTCTTACAACCCCATCTATAAATATATTAAACAACCACGGTGACATCACACATCCTTGTCTAAGGCCTACTTTTACTGGAAAAAATTCCCCTCTTTCCTACATACTCTAACTTGAGCCTCACTATCCTCGTAAAAACTCTTCACTGCTTTCAGTAACCTACCTCCTACACCATACACTTGCAACATCTGCCACATTGCCCCCCTATCCACCCTGTCATACGCCTTTTCCAAATCCATAAATGCCACAAAGACCTCTTTAGCCTTATCTAAATACTGTTCACTTATATGTTTCACTGTAAACACCTGGTCCACACACCCCCTACCTTTCCTAAAGCCTCCTTGTTCATCTGCTATCCTATTCTCCGTCTTACTCTTAATTCTTTCAATTATAACTCTACCATACACTTTACCAGGTACACTCAACAGACTTATCCCCCTATAATTTTTGCACTCTCTTTTATCCCCTTTGCCTTTATACAAAGGAACTATGCATGCTCTCTGCCAATCCCTAGGTACCTTACCCTCTTCCATACATTTATTAAATAATTGCACCAACCACTCCAAAACTATATCCCCACCTGCTTTTTAAACATTTCTATCTTTATCCCATCAATCCCGGCTGCCTTACCCCCTTTCATTTTACCTACTGCCTCACGAACTTCCCCCACACTCACAACTGACTCTTCCTCACTCCTACAAGATGTTATTCCTCCTTGCCCTATACACGAAATCACAGCTTCCCTATCTTCATCAACATTTAACAATTCCTCAAAATATTCCTTCCATCTTCCCAATACCTCTAACTCTCCATTTAATAACTCTCCTCTCCTATTTTTAACTGACAAATCCATTTGTTCTCTAGGCTTTCTTAACTTGTTAATCTCACTCCAAAACTTTTTCTTATTTTCAACAAAATTTGTTGATAACATCTCACCCACTCTCTCATTTGCTCTCTTTTTACATTGCTTCACCACTCTCTTAACTTCTCTCTTTTTCTCCATATACTCTTCCCTCCTTGCATCACTTCTACTTTGTAAAAACTTCTCATATGCTAACTTTTTCTCCCTTACTACTCTCTTTACATCATCATTCCACCAATCGCTCCTCTTCCCTCCTGCACCCACTTTCCTGTAACCACAAACTTCTGCTGAACACTCTAACACTACATTTTTAAACCTACCCCATACCTCTTCGACCCCATTGCCTATGCTCTCATTAGCCCATCTATCCTCCAATAGCTGTTTATATCTTACCCTAACTGCCTCCTCTTTTAGTTTATAAACCTTTACCTCTCTCTTCCCTGATGCTTCTATTCTCCTTGTATCCCATCTACCTTTTACTCTCAGTGTAGCTACAACTAGAAAGTGATCTGATATATCTGTGGCCCCTCTATAAACATGTACATCCTGAAGTCTACTCAACAGTCTTTTATCTACCAATACATAATCCAACAAACTACTGTCATTTCGCCCTACATCATATCGTGTATACTTATTTATCCTCTTTTCTTAAAATATGTATTACCTATAACTAAACCCTTTCTATACAAAGTTCAATCAAAGGGCTCCCATTATCATTTACACCTGGCACCCCAAACTTACCTACCACACCCTCTCTAAAAGTTTCTCCTACTTTAGCATTCAAGTCCCCTACCACAATTACTCTCTCACTTGGTTCAAAGGCTCCTATACATTCACTTAACATCTCCCAAAATCTCTCTCTCTCCTCTGCATTCCTCTCTTCTCCAGGTGCATACACGCTTATTATGACCCACTTCTCGCATCCAACCTTTACTTTAATCCACATAATTCTTGAATTTACACATTCATATTCTCTTTTCTCCTTCCATAACTGATCATTTAACATTACTGCTACCCCTTCCTTTGCTCTAACTCTCTCAGATACTCCAGATTTAATCCCATTTATTTCCCCCCACTGAAACTCTCCTACCCCCTTCAGCTTTGTTTCGCTTAGGGCCAGGACATCCAACTTCTTTTCATTCATAACATCAGCAATCATCTGTTTCTTGTCATCCGCACTACATCCACGCACATTTAAGCAACCCAGTTTTATAAAGTTTTTCTTCTTCTCTTTTTTAGTAATTGTATACAGGAGAAGGGGTTACTAGCCCATTGCTCCCGGCATTTTAGTCGCCTCATACGACACGCATGGCTTACGGAGGAAAGATTCTTTTCCACTTCCCCATGGACAATAGAAGAAATAAAAAGAACAAGAGCTATTTAGAAAAAGGAGAAAAACCTAGATGTATGTATATATATATATATGCATGTGCGTGTCTATGAAGTGTGACCAAAGTGTAAGTAGGAGTAGCAAGATATCCCTGTTATCTTAGCGTGTTTATGAGACAGAAAAAGAAACCAGCAATCCTACCATCATGCAAAACAGTTACAGGTTTTTGTTTCACAGTCATCTGGCAGGACGGTAGTACTTCCCTGGGTGGTTGCTGTCTACCAACCTACTACCTACATACAGTATGATATTATAACTGCTAACAATAAAAATGGGTTATTCATTGATGACTATTCATTTGTAATTCCTTAACATTTATATTTACTCTCAGGAGTATGTTTATTAACCCATTCAGTGTCAGTCCCGGAATATTACGGCTTGAGAGCCAGTGTTGGTCCCGTAATGCTACGCCAAAATTCTAGCTCCTTCAAACCTGGTGGAAGAAATCTGGTAGGCTTACATGTGAAAGAATGGGTCTGTGTAGTCAGTGTGCACAGTATAAAAAAAATTCTGCAGCACACAGTGCATAATGAGAAAAAAAAAACTCTGACTGTGTTTTTGGTTTAAAACAGCAACTTTGCTGTGTATTTTTGTATGGTATTTATTTTTGTATTCTCGTTTTCTTGATCTCATTTGATAGAATGGAAGATATATTACAGAAATAGAGATGATTTTGATTGGTTTCATGATGAAAAGTACAGTGGACCCTCGAGTTTCAGCTGCCACAACTTTCGTGAAATCTGACTTTCAGCAACTTTTTTTGTCAAAATATAGCCTCACTGTTCATAATTTGCCTCACGATTCATCCGTTGTACGGGACACGGCCGGGTGTACACAAAGGCTCCCACACAACATTCAGAGGGTTAGTGTGGCATGCTTTGTGGGCGAGTGACCATCACCCCATGGGTTCATATGATATATTTCATAATACATTGTTTTTCGTGCTTGCAACTGCTAGATAAGCCACCATGGGCCCAAAGAAAGCTTATAGTGCCAGTCCTTTGGTAAAGAAGGAAAGAAACACAATAGAATTCAACAAAAAACTTATAGCGACGGGCTGGAGTTTTGAGACACTCTGACTGCGGGTTCAATCCCGGCCGGGGTATGGTTTGGGTTAACAAAGTACCAAAGTGGAGGAGGACGAGAGAGAGGAGAATGTTCTTTCTTCGGTGATTCAGTGATTCTACTATATGTACGGTACTAAAGCAGCAGATATCGATAAAGGCTATAGCGCCAGCCAGTGATAAAGTGTAGCATTAACAGTGTAGCAAGTAAGTTAAGCAATTAAGCGATAGAAAAACGACATGAAAGTAACTCCTATGTTGTTGGAGGTGTATAGGGCTGTGCAAGAAAGGTATAAAATACCGACAATATGAAAGTTAAGACACGTGCAACATCTGGATATCTTTATTGTAGACGTTTTGCCATCCAGTGGCTTTATCAATACAGATTCTAAGACATTATTGGAAGACAGTAGAACTATATACAAAAGATGAGGTAATCAGTCCCTCAGCCTTGGAGTTAGGGTTCACAGCATCGTGGTGGAGGAGAATCTGGAGCAAAGGCAAGAAGACTGGCGGT